CTAAACCTAGCTCAAGCCTAGTTAATCGGTAGTTCTAGATAAATTCATTGTATTCTCGAATTAGATTATCTGTGAAACATATCCTATTAAAAATTGATGATCGTGTTGGAACTTAATAGTAAAATAACAATCATAATTATCATTAAATTTAAAAACAAGGAAATTTTAGTTTTATAGTGCTTTTAAAGTTTAAATTGGCAACTATGGTCTAATATTCATTGGAAGCCATGTTTGTTGTGAAAATAAGTAAATAATTGACGTGTTTGTTATCAACTAAAATAATGCTCTGATCGAGTAATACAGTCAAACAAATTAATATATAAACTTATAAACAAATCAATTTTTGCCGTCAGTGTTTGTTATAGCATAAACGCAGGTAATAATAAGCCAAAATGAATATTGCCGCCAACGTTTGTTTTTACACACTAAAAAAATTTTATTTAAGAAAATGCTTTCTGTGTTAACATGCAAAATACCACTTTCCTTCCCTAAAAAAAAGTAAAGTTCCCTTTTTGAACCTTTCTACCATGGAGCACGTCAAGTAGTGTTACTTGTTTCTGAAACCTCGGCGTACAAGGGGAAAGCTTGATCTGCACTATACCCAGCCAACTTTCCCTAACGTGAGTTGGTTATCCATCAGAACTGGGTGAACGCAAGGACGATCTACTGGCTAAAACCTGGATTCGAACTCGAGACTTTCGGAATAACAGTGTACTGCTCTACCATTAGACCGCGTCGTCATTCTTTACATGCCAATGTGTTTAAATTTCATTGTTTTTGTAATTGTGCGAATCTTATTTTTCACTATTATTGCTCGAGCTGTTATACACATGTTTTTCCGTTCCGTAATCCTATGACATTTTATCATCTATACTTATACCATCATAGTCAATTTCCTTTTATTGGTGTCCAGTAATAAACTCCCTGGAAATAAACCAGCGAAATAAACCTCCTTGTATTTGCATGTAGACGTAAGTATTTTTTACTGTAACACATTTTTTTTTGTTAAATGTACTGCTGGATGTTTGGCTAATAACCACAAGACCCCTTCGTGTTGTGCTTTCATGTTTCAAGCTACTGACAAGGTTGGCTGATTTTTTCTGACACCGGCCTAATCCAGGTTAAATTGTTAGGATTAAATATTTGGTGCAGACAATCTTTATTTCGCATCTACTAAAGGTAAGTAAAACTTGAAAAATGTATTAACGTTTACACTTATGTTTAAAATTTTGTTGTTGCCAAATTGTTTTAACTTCAGTGATCTTTATAAACGGTAACTATTTCATTGTACAGTGTATTTTAAATATAAAGTATTTGTTTCTTACGAATTTTACAAATGTCTTAGCTGAAGGTCTTTATCTTACATTTTTTTCCATTGAAAATTTCGAAATGATTTAAAATAGACTTGGTTAATTATACTTGACTAAAATTCAAATATGCGGTAATAATACCAATAAATGTATTTGCGATATACCGTAACTATTAGACAAAATGTGTTTGTTAGCTTAGGGTAGATCGCAGTTTGTGTCAGGTTAACCTTTAAATCAGGTCAAACAAATTGTTAAAAATTAATTCACACATTTAGCTTCTTTTAAATAAAAAGTGTCTATAGTTACAGTGGCGGATTTAGGAGAGGGGGGTGAGGGTGATTGGGCAGCAGGCGGGAGATCCCGAATTTTAGGGACCCACAAATTTTCTTTTACAAACCATAGTAAATATCACTTAACAGCCTAATTGCTACTTTTTAAATAATAATTATTGCTTAGCGTTCAAATCACAAGCTTATTTTTCTAAGCCTAAAATAACATAGACCACAGTTCGCTCATGTCAATAATAGTGGATTTATTATGAGAGTTAAAAGAAACCCACGAACAGCAGCAGACTTCTGACAAATAAGTTTAGGGCATACGATTGTTCCCTATTTAAAATAAAGCGGGAGTGACCTCCCTTAAACTTTGAAGAATGTTCTACGAAGGATTTTAACTCGGTGTTTAGACATGATTTTATTCATTTTTCATTAATTTAAAAAAAATAGAATCTCGTAGAAAAATAAATTGCGCACCAAGTAAACAGCAAAAATGTGTGTAAAATAGTGTCGAATATTAGTACTTTATAAATTCATATGCGTTTTTGTCGTTATATGGGATTTTTTTTTTAAATTTGACCGAAGGCAGAGATGTAGATCTTTTAGATATATTAAATTTGATCTATTTATTTCAGACAAATACTCAAGTTGTAGGCTTTTGAAAAACCAAAAGTAGAATAACATCCACTTTTAATTAACTGAAATAGCTGAAAAGTTGATAGAGTAATATTAATTAGATGTAATACATATATATAAATTTCATCAACCTAGCAGTAACGGTACTCGGGTTTTTCGTGTTCACAGACATACACACATCTACACAGACACACGGACAGAATTGCAAAGCCCAGTTATTTTCGAATCGATTACACTTAAAACGCCAAAATTTTGATTTTTGCCCGATTAAAATAAATCTCCTATACTCCGTATATGATGAAGTGCTGAGTTGTAAAAACTGTAAAAAAATCATGTGATTTAATTTTTTTTTGCACGATTACAATACTATCTCTACACTATTTTTACGAGAAAGTAAAAAAGGCAGTAAAGTCATTTAGTCAGACAACGCCTGATATTGTAGTGAGGCAGTTACTAAAAATAAATTGCAAATGTTAGGCATTGGGTCTACACTGTTTATTATATCTCACTTGCAAGCATTCATACAAGCAGCATGTTCATGGGTTTCAAATTTGCTCTTACAAACAATAAATGTGATGCTTAACTAACAAGTTAGTTTCTTAAATAAAGGCCACTCAAAAAATATTACCCCCCCCCCACCCCCTCCCCCCTCTTCCCCAAGGTTTAGAGAATTAACAATACAACAACACATTTGAATGGTTGAAATGGGACTAGATCTAAATGTAAAAATGCAAATGGTTGAAAAATCAATATTCTAATAGATGTTTCTTATTTATACTAATAATGAATTTTTTTTAATTAGCTTTTGCACAATGCGGCTGACTTAGTATTTAATAGTGCGATTCAATGTTGGAAATCTAAACAAACTTGTGATAAATTCGAATATATCAGGAAACCAAGGTGATATGGTCTATTGTTTTTTATGTTATGTTTAAAATTTAAGATCTAAATCTTTTCGAATACTATAACCATTTTTGTCACATAAAATTAAGTATACAACTGCAAAAAAAGTGGGTTAAAAACAATTTCGGTTGTCATGAAAACCCGAATTAATCTATCTTAATACAACTAAAAGTCAAGTTTGTTTACATGTTTGAATATTTATTTTTTTGTTTGTTTGTTTGTCCGATCGAGTATTGTGATATGTTCGACTCTATCTGGAGAGCTGTAAAATAGTATGTAGGTAGAGAATATTTTTTTAATGCAGACAAACTGTTAATCACACATTTATTTAAAGACGTTAATTAATTTATTGATTTATTCATACGTAGAGTAACCCATTTTTTTTAAAAATGTTAAAACATTGACTAAACTTTGTGGGAATAGTGACGTCACAGGTTTTTGTTTACTCTTTAGTACAATAAAATGGCGGCGTCTATCGAAGAAAATTGTGTTCCCATTCAAAAGTTTAACGCGTTCTAAATCTAATTTTCTGTCGGTCATAACTTTAACAATACGTCCGTTTGCTGTATTTATTACGTTCCAACACTTATATCAATTTTCAACTGTCTTTTTTCATTTAGTTTTACAATAAATTTCTCTAGATCTAAAGATCAGCTGTCGAAGGAAAGTTATGAATCTAGCCTAGATCTAGATCTAGCCTAGATCTAGGTCACTAGACTCAATGTAAATTCTAGATCTAGACTTAATGTAAATTCTACATCTAGAATCTATTTCAGGCCTTAATTATTTTATATAAATCTTTGTTTGGCTAATTTAAGATAAAATTTAATTTGAAAGTTACTAGATTCTACTACTAGACTTAGATCTAGATCTATGCGCGGAGACTCAAAAGTATAGTATAAAAATTCATTTGTGACGTCACGAGTAAATAGCTAAGTTGGTAGCGTAGTCCGCTCTCATGCGGGTGGCACAGGTTCTAGACCAATATGTCAATGATATTTTTTTTCACTTTTTTTTTTAGATGTGAATGATAAAGTTGCCTATCTGAACTTGGCAGGATACAGGGCAGGTGAAGTAGAGTTCATCTGTTCCTTTGTCCTAAGCATATGAAAGGATAGTGTGGTCAGAGACATGCTCGGCTGGAATCGTTTTTTAAACGATAAAAACATGTTGTCTGAGACTTGGCGGGACACTGGGCAGGTGAAGTAGAGTTGAGTAGGTCACATGTGACGTCAGTATATGAAGGGATAGTCCGAAATCGGTGTTTTCGGTGTTTTTAAAAGATAAAAAACATATTTTTGAATGTGGGGTCTGTTTTTTGTGACGATAAGTGACACTGCAGTAGCGTAGTGAGGAGGGGGGGGGGGGCGGGAGGGGTAGGGGAGGCGTGGGGGGGGGGAAAGGGGATGCGGGTGGAGGGGGGAAGGGGGGGCGGGGGGGACACTTGTTGGGGCGCCACAATGGTTTGGAAAAAAAATAAATTGAAAGGTTGAGGGGGGTTCAAATCGAAAGTTTGAGTGGGGGGGGGTGCACATCAAAAGTTTGAGGGGGGGGGGGGGGGTTGCAAATCGAAATCTTGGGGGGGGGGTTCAAATCGAAAAGTTTGTCACCGGGCGCCGGGAAGGGTCGCTATGCCTCTGAGTGACAGACGTGATGTTTTTTGATGGATGACCCCCGAAACCCACAGTTATCCAACGGATGACGGGTATTCTAGTATTTTCTATTTATGCAACGTGTTTTCGTAATTATGATTTAATACTAATTTTTGTTTCTTTTAGGCAAATTCGTTCTCTATTATGATTTAATATAGTGAAACATCTGTAAGGTATACTCTTGTTTCATATCGTCTACTAAAGCAAATACATCTCGACAAAAACCAACCATGAACAGGAAACAATGTTTTCTTCAATTTTTCGCCCTGGTTGCCTTTACATCGATGGTAGTCATCGTCACTTTGTACACAGTGAATTACTTCAAAGTAGAACAACAGAAATTTACAGAGGTTGGGATTCAAGGTGATTAAGTATCTGTTTAAATTCCTTTTATACTATCAATTACAATCCGACGTTAGGGTTAATTAAATAAATAAACGCCCATCACTATGATCAAAGTCCGCGTTAATATTACCAAAACCTAATTTATTTTTGTCATTATTAAATAATAATATTTTATGTTGATGCAAATTGTGACGCTACAACTTTTTATTGATTGTTAAACATAGACTAACAGTGATGCAGCATTCAAGAGCTTACTACATTTTGCTAAATGTATTCCCGTTAGAGATGTGGCTTTACCCTCAAAAACAGTTGTATTTTAAGTGTTTGCTAATATTGTTAGTAGCGTCTACAACAAGCAAGAACAATCGGTGATGAATAACTAAATTAATTAAATTAAAATAGGTGTGCCTATATACCAAGATTGGAACTAGAAGAGGTATACTTAAAAAATAACTACATGCTATTGAGTTATCAAAACACCCAGTAGCTAAGCTATCACACAAATCGATAATATTTATGTACAGTATCTGCTTAATAAGTGTGTTGTTGCGAGGTTCAACATAACAAGTATAAGGTGTTCCTTGCTCTATCATTCGAGTAACTTGTCACTTAAATTATTCTTGGTTTGTTATTAATATGTTGTCATTGCCGAATTCCGCCGCATGGGGCAGATAATGTAGAGTTTATTTGTTTAAATTGCATATCTCCTTCCGATACGGCCTCGGGATTTCTGTCCAAATTATTTTTTAATGTATGGACCATTACGTTTTTGGTGTACTCACGATGTGTACCAGATTTGCTCTCCATCAGTCAAATATTATGCAAATTAGTAAATGTGTACACATTCATACATCGTGTCAAAGTAGAGTATAATGTTATTAAAAACCTTATAGGAAGCAAAGATATCGAAAACAATATAATTTGATAAAAAGATGATTGCTCAGAAAGAAATACACTGTTTAATAATGTTAATCTCAAAATTATATAATTTTAACTACAAATTCAGAAAAATAATTTTAAATTAGCTGATTTTTGGTATTTTTTTTATCTCCAAAAAAAATTTAAAAACAAATAATACATCCGAATATCATTCACATACACATTCGCATTCGAATTCGAGTTCGCGTTCGCGTTTAAGCTCAGGTTCACGTTCACGTTCACGTTAACCTTTACGTTCACGTTCACGTTCACGTTCACATTCACATTCACATTCCATGTTTGTGTTTGTGTTTGTGTTTGTGTTTGTGTTTGTGTTTGTGTTTGTGTTTGTGTTTGTGTTTGTGTTTGTGTTTGTGTTTGTGTTTGTGTTTGTGTTTGTGTTTGTGTTTGTGTTTGTGTTTGTGTTTGTGTTTGTGTTTGTGATTGTGTTTGTGTTTGTGTTTGTGTTTGTGTTTATGTTTGGGTTTGGGTTTGGGTTTGGGTTTGGGTTTGGGTTTAGGTTTAGGTTTAGGTTTAGGTTTAGGTTTAGGTTTAGGTTTAGGTTTAGGTTTAGGTTAAGGTTTAGGTTTAGGTTTAGGTTTAGGTTTAGGTTTAGGTTTAGGTTTAGGTTTAGGTTTAGGTTTAGGTTTAGGTTTAGGTTTAGGTTTAGGTTTAGGTTTAGGTTTAGGTTTAGGTTTAAGTTTAGGTTTAGGTTTTGGTTTAGGTTTCGGTTTCGGTTTCGGTTTCGGTTTCGGTTTCGGTTTCGGTTTAGGTTTAGGTTTAGGTTTAGGTTTAGGTTTAGGTTTAGGTTTAGGTTTAGGTTTAGGTTTAGGTTTAGGTTTAGGTTTAGGTTTAGGTTTAGGTTTAGGTTTAGGTTTAGGTTTAGGTTTTGGTTTTGGTTTAGGTTTTGGTTTAGGTTTAGGTTTAGGTTTAGGTTTAGGTTTAGGTTTTGGTTTTGGTTTAGGTTTAGGTTTAGGTTTAGGTTTAGGTTTAGGTTTAGGTTTAGGTTTAGGTTTAGGTTTAGGTTTAGGTTTAGGTTTAGGTTTAGGTTTTGGTTTAGGTTTAGGTTTAGGTTTAGGTTTAGGTTTAGGTTTAGGTTTAGGTTTAGGTTTAGGTTTAGGTTTAGGTTTAGGTTTAGGTTTAGGTTTAGGTTTAGGTTTAGGTTTAGGTTTAGGTTTAGGTTTAGGTTTAGGTTTTGGTTTTGGTTTTGGTTTTGGTTTTGATTTAGGTTTAGGTTTAGGTTTAGGTTTAGGTTTAGGTTTAGGTTTAGGTTTAGGTTTAGGTTTAGGTTTAGGTTTAGGTTTAGGTTTAGGTTTAGGTTTAGGTTTAGGTTTAGGTTTAGGTTTAGGTTTTGGTTTAGGTTTAGGTTTAGGTTTAGGTTTAGGTTTAGGTTTAGGTTTAGGTTTAGCTTTAGGTTTAGGTTTAGGTTTAGGTTTAGGTTTAGGTTTAGGTTTAGGTTTAGGTTTAGGTTTAGGTTTAGGTTTAGGTTTAGGTTTAGGTTTAGGTTTAGGTTTAGGTTTAGGTTTAGGTTTAGGTTTAGGTTTAGGTTTAGGTTTAGGTTTAGGTTTAGGTTTAGGTTTAGGTTTAGGTTAAGGTTTAGGTTTAGGTTTAGGTTTAGGTTTAGGTTTAGATTTAAATTTAGGTTTAGGTTTAGGTTTAGGTTCAGGTTCAGGTTCAGGTTGAGGTTCAGGTTGAGGTTCAGGTTCAGGTTCAGGTTCAGGTTTAGGTTTAGGTTTAGGTTTAGGTTTAGGTTTAGGTTTAGGTTTAGGTTTAGGTTTAGGTTTAGGTTTAGGTTTAGGTTTAGGTTTAGGTTTAGGTTTAGGTTTAGGTTTAGGTTTAGGTTTAGGTTTAGGTTTAGGTTTAGGTTTAGGTTTAGGTTTAGGTTTAGGTTTAGGTTTAGGTTTAGGTTTAGGTTTAGGTTTAGGTTTAGGTTTAGGTTTAGGTTTAGGTTTAGGTTTAGGTTTAGGTTTAGGTTTAGGTTTAGGTTTAGGTTTAGGTTTAGGTTTAGGTTTAGGTTTAGGTTTAGGTTTAGGTTTAGCTTTAGGTTTAGGTTTAGGTTTAGGTTTAGGTTTAGGTTTAGGTTTAGGTTTAGGTTTAGGTTTAGGTTTAGGTTTAGGTTTAGGTTTAGGTTTAGTTTAGGTTTAAGTTTAGGTTTAGGTTTAGGTTTAGGTTTAGGTTTAGGTTTAGGTTTAGGTTTAGGTTTAGGTTTAGGTTTAGGTTTTGGTTTTGGTTTAGGTTTAGGTTTAGGTTTAGGTTTAGGTTTAGGTTTAGGTTTAGGTTTAGGTTTAGGTTTAGGTTTAGGTTTAGGTTTAGGTTTAGATTTAAATTTAGGTTTAGGTTTAGGTTCAGGTTCAGGTTCAGGTTCAGGTTCAGGTTGAGGTTTAGGTTCAGGTTCAGGTTCAGGTTCAGGTTCAGGTTCAGGTTCAGGTTCAGGTTTAGGTTTAGGTTTAGGTTTAGGTTTAGGTTTAGGTTTAGGTTTAGGTTTAGGTTTAGGTTTAGGTTTAGGTTTAGGTTTAGGTTTAGGTTTAGGTTTAGGTTAAGGTTTAGGTTTAGGTTTAGGTTTAGGTTTAGGTTTAGGTTTAGGTTTAGGTTTAGGTTTAGGTTTAGGTTTAGGTTTAGGTTTAGGTTTAGGTTTAGGTTTAGGTTTAGGTTTAGGTTTAGGTTTAGGTTTAGGTTTAGGTTTAGGTTTAGGTTTAGGTTTAGGTTTAGGTTTAGGTTTAGGTTTAGGTTTAGGTTTCGGTTTCGGTTTCGGTTTAGGTTTAGGTTTAGGTTTAGGTTTAGGTTTTGGTTTTGGTTTAGGTTTAGGTTTAGGTTAAGGTTTAGGTTTAGGTTTAGGTTTAGGTTTAGGTTTAGGTTTAGGTTTAGGTTTAGGTTTAGGTTTAGGTTTAGGTTTAGGTTTAGGTTTAGGTTTAGGTTTAGGTTTAGGTTTAGGTTTAGGTTTAGGTTTAGGTTTAGGTTTAGGTTTAGGTTTAGGTTTAGGTTTAGGTTTAGGTTTAGGTTTAGGTTTAGGTTTAGGTTTAGGTTTCGGTTTCGGTTTAGGTTTAGGTTTAGGTTTAGGTTTTGGTTTTGGTTTAGGTTTAGGTTTAGGTTTAGGTTTAGGTTTAGGTTTAGGTTTAGGTTTAGGTTTAGGTTTAGGTTTAGGTTTAGGTTTAGGTTTAGGTTTAGGTTTAGGTTTAGGTTTAGGTTTAGGTTTAGGTTTAGGTTTAGGTTTAGGTTTAGGTTTAGGTTTAGGTTTAGGTTTAGGTTTAGGTTTAGGTTTAGGTTTAGGTTTAGGTTTAGGTTTAGGTTTAGGTTTAGGTTTAGGTTTAGGTTTAGGTTTAGGTTTAGGTTTAGGTTTAGGTTTAGGTTTAGGTTTAGGTTTAGGTTTAGGTTTAGGTTTAGGTTTAGGTTTAGGTTTAGGTTTAGGTTTAGGTTTTGGTTTTGGTTTTGGTTTTGGTTTTGGTTTCAGGTTTAGGTTTAGGTTTAGGTTTAGGTTTAGGTTTAGGTTTAGGTTTAGGTTTAGGTTTAGGTTTTGGTTTTGGTTTAGGTTTAGGTTTAGGTTTAGGTTTAGGTTTAGGTTTAGGTTTAGGTTTAGGTTTAGGTTTAGGTTTAGGTTTAGGTTTAGGTTTAGGTTTAGGTTTAGGTTTAGGTTTAGGTTTAGGTTTAGGTTTAGGTTTAGGTTTAGGTTTAGGTTTAGGTTTAGGTTTAGGTTTAGGTTTAGGTTTAGGTTTAGGTTTAGGTTTTTTGGTTTAGGTTTAGGTTTAGGTTTAGGTTTAGGTTTAGGTTTAGGTTTAGGTTTAGGTTTAGGTTTAGGTTTAGGTTTGTGTTTGTGTTTGTTTTTGTGTTTGTGTTTGTGTTTATGCAGGTGCATGTGCATGTGTAAGTATTTGTTTACATGAAATCGTCAATTGTCTATTTTATCATTATTACTAATACTTTTTTTTTAGATTCTTTTGTTTTTGAAAATAAGCAGAAGAGATCTTATGGTTTTGGATCAGGTAATTCATTGATTAAATAATATTTTTTGTAATGTTTACTTAAGAATGAATAGTAATTTCTGGTATCGAAAAAAATGAAAGTGACACTTTAAAATTGGTTAAAATCAATAAGTACGGCCTTACAAAAAGAAATACTTCGAAAAAGATACTTTAAAAAAACAGTTTATAATAATCAACATTTGGATGATTGTTGATTGATTTTACTCTAAATTTATAGATAAAATATTGTTATTTCAGTTTTTATAAACACACATTTTTAACAAACTTTATGAGAAAATCAAATAATTATTAAAAATTTTTAAATATCTTTTATAATAGACAGCAGGGTCTTAAAAGTAAATACTAAAATTTACCTATTTCTCATATAATTTATACTTTCATGTTATATTTTCACATTTAAAAACTTCATACATAAGTAAAGTTACAAAAAATAAGGTGTCTCGTCTTTTTTCTTGAGCAAATTTCAACTAAATTTGTCTTTAAAATCGTTTTTTATTACAAAACACAAACGAATATACAATAATATTATACATGATGTAGAAATTATTTTCGGAATAATTGATTAAAAATAGCATAAATTCGAACTTCTAACATTGCAATTAATTTAAATTAGTGAGGACATTGTAAAATGCAGGACCTCTGGCTTTTGTGCGGAAACACGGTCGAGTGAACAGATTGGTGGGGCTGGATTTGGACAATATGACCACAACAGAGCTGTTATTGACCATACACAGTCATTTGGATAACATTGATGTAAGTAAACAAGTTTAATTACAGGAAACCCCCTGAAAAATAAATTAATTCCCGGAAACAAACCATCTGACATAAACCCCCCGGACATAAACCCCCTGGACAAACTCTCCCGTGACTTAAACCCCTCCAAAAAAAACCCCTTGACATAAACTCTCCAAGACAATATCCCCCCCTCCCACCACCCTCGGATTGATATTTATGTAAAGAAATACTAATACTAACAAAAATTAGCCATAAGAAGATGTATAGTTTATATATAATTTTGAATATAATTTATTCAATTTATATTTTACAAACAAAACAGTTTCTGCTTAAAAGAATGTCATTTGGCCGTCAAAGCGTGACAATACTTATATTAAATGAAAGAGCGGGTTTTTATGCTAAGAATTCTGCCTGCTTTAGCTTTTGTGCCAAATCATTAGTAAAGCCTTTGACCAATTAAAATATTATTTTCCTAGAACCATCACCAACTGCAGATTATTTCGATGACTACTGTCACAACGTCAGGATCGGAGATAAACAGTTTTTTTCCCACATACTATATATAATAACACATGCATGCACAAAAAAAAAAAAAAACAACAACAAAACAACACAAAATTTCCCACTCAAATATCGGATGCTACTATCCTAATATTTGGAAATCCGTTAACTTTAGAAAAACAAAAACTTTTTCTAATATTCTATTATAACACAACGGGGTATGCCAACTAGGGATACCTGTTCATTCAAACCATACACACGCATAAATTGTTAGCAGCCCTTGAATTGCAACTGCTGTTCAAGGTTTTTAATGATTTAAACGACATCAGAGTATTTTCAATCGCTCTTGATAAATTAAAACTTTATAATAATTTTCAATTTTAATAAAATGCTCGCTTTTTTTACTTTCTCTCATACAAAGAATAGAAAAAGTATTGTTATCTTGCAAAATAAACCGGGAGCGATCTCCCCTAAACTTTCTCGAATATTCTTATATAAAACAACAGGGGATGGGAACTCGGGCTATAGACATGATTTTTAATCCATTTTAAATAGGCCTACTTAAAGTTTTAAAAATAGAATAAAATCTCACACCAAGTGAACGCCAAATAAAAAAAGTGCATAATAGTGCGTATTATTATTAGTACTTTAAAAATTTACATTCGTTTTTTGAGAAATCGGAAGTAGCGTAAATTACTACTTCCTGTCAACGGAAATTACTGAAAATTTAACAGAAGGTAGAAAATTAGATCTTTTACTAACATGTGAAATTTCATTTATCTATCTGAAATAGTACTCAAGTTATAGGCTTTTGAAAAATTCAAAGTAGAAAAAGTACCACTTCAGGTTATCTGAAATCGCTCAAAAGTTGATATGGATCTACGATTTTGATAAAATACTTATATAGGAAATTTCATCAACCTAGCTGTAACGGTACTCAAGTAATCGTGTTTACACACACACACACAGTTACACAGACACACAGACATACGGACAGGATTGCAAAGCCCAATTTTTCAGAATGGATTACGCATAAAACCTCTTAATTTTGATAAATCTGGATTGATAATTTTTGCCCGATTAAAATAAGTCCTCTATACTTCGGATGTGATGAAGGACTGAGGTGTAATACGGTGAAAATTGTTAAAATTTCAAGAGATTTTTTTGCACGATTACAATGCTCTCTCATTACTTCGTATATACGAGAAAGTAAAAAAAGAATCGAGATGTTTATAAATCTTGACGTTTCATACCTCCATGAGTAGGAAAAACATAGTTTTGCCATCTTGTCCGTATGTCTGAGTGTTTGTGTGTGTCTGTAAACAAAATAACTTGAGTATCGCTACGGCTAGGTTGATGTAATTTCTTATATAAGTATTTTATCAAATTTGTAGTTCTGTTATGTATTCAGCAATTTCTGATAACCGGAAATGGAACTTTTTCTACTTTCAATTTTTAAAAAGCCTATAACTTGAGTACTATTTCAGATAGATATATGAAAATTTCACATATAAGTAAAAGATCTAATTCTCTGCCTTCTATTAAATTGTGAGTAACTTCCGTTGACCGGAAGTAGTAATTTACGCTCTTTCCGTTTTCATGTGTATTTATGAAGTACAAATAATATTTCGCACTATTTTACACATTTTATTTGGCGTTCACTTCGTGAACATTTCTTTTTTCTACGAGATTCTATTCTATTTTAAAAAGTTTAAGTAATTAAAAAGGGATTAAAAATATTGCCTATATCCCGAGTTGTCATTATATAAGAATATTCGAGAAAGTTTAGGGGAGATACTACCGGTTTATTTTTATTTGTTTTGCTTTTAATTAATATTTTAGTTCTCTTCATCATTGGTATGTCCTTATATAAACGGCAATCAGGGAGGGAGACGTGGGGGAAGGGATAGTTTCTAAGGGTTTTACGTCGCAGGGTGTTTGTGTCCAGGCGGGGGGGGGGGTATATGACGTGGGTTTATGTCCGACGGTTAATGTCGGGCGGTTTATGTCCGGGAAGCTTATGTCCTTTAGGTTTATAACCTAGGGCCCGACTGAAAATTCAAGGATCATTTTGATCATTGCGGCTATAGGAAATACATCAGTAAACGTAATTTACTGCTAAGATAAGAAAATTATTAAAACCTATTACGTATGTAGGAAGTCGTACCAGAAAGTCAAGAGATTGAATCCTAGTTCAAGTCTGTTTAACTCCATTTGTCCACCCAGCTCTGACTGGTACACGACACACGTTAGGTAGAGAAGAGGTGGGTGGATGTATTGCTCACCATAATATACTTTCGTATGCCAAGTTCAATGAGGTTATAAAGGGAACTTGTACAACTTTACCAACATTTTTTTTTGTTTTGTTTTTTATACCCAGACGATTTGTGAAAGAAAAGTGCGTATGGGTAACCTTGGAGACGGAGGGTGGGAGATTTGTGACGACCCGGATGTGCGCCCCACGGCGCCCTGTATCATCTATTCTTACGGGATTAACTACGATTTCTCGTTTGACGATGACGCAGCCAGAGTGTACGGCTGCCATGTTTATTCTTTTGATCCTAGCATGGCCAGAATGGGGAATCAGGTCAACAGGTAAATGCAATGGTGGTGCAGAGCTAGAAAAAATGATAAAAATTGTAGCTAATTAGTGGTCATTTTATACTTGGATTGTCAGGACAAGTTATTGTGCTAAGTTGATGCCTCGATGATTGCTACTGTATTAAGATTTGTTAGCACTCTTTGTAATTTGATAATCTACCATTTTATGATAAGCTATGCTTAATTGATGATAGCTTTTAAAAAAAATAATTATTTACGTTTGAAGGTCAGAGTTTGTCCACTTTTATAGAGTTGGATTGGGTTCAAAAACACAAGTTGTCAAAAATTGGACGCTCTACACTCACGAAGATCTGAGAAAAATGCTCGGACATCAGGACAAAATCATAGACGTTATTAAGATGGACATAGAACAGTATGAGTGGAATGCAATTCCCGAAATGATAACCACTGGTCAGTTATCCCAAGTGCGACAACTCCTGGTGGAGTATCACCTCTCTTACTTATATTGATCTCGTTTGCTCCCACAGCTTAAAACAATGCAGCTTTTGGAAAATGCTGGATTTAAACGATTTTTGTCACATAAAAATGCAAATTGGGATATAAAGATACCGGATTTTCCCACCTTAAGAAGTAAATGTTATGAGGTCCATTACATTCGCAGGTAGATTCAGAGCATGTAGTAAAAAGACATCGCTCTGTTCTTGGAAAGTTTTAACTCATAGATTGTTCTTTCCTCTTAAAGGAATATGCTTTGTATTCTATAATGTATGTATGCTATTAATTAAAAAATTAACCAATTTTCCCCAATCTTACAAGTTCTCTACGAAATGTTTTATATCAATCATCATATTTTGGCATCATTGGAAAGCTGGATTTCTCATATATTTGATAATCTTAAATTTCATCATCACGAAAACACCCAACGATTACTATCGCATTTGCAGTTTACACGGATATTGTATTTTCGTCACCTACTTTTCTTTACTTTTGTCTGTTTTTCTCAGTTCGCGGGTTTTTAACACTTAAAAGCCCACTACGTTTTTTTTTTGTTAAACAATGCCCACCATATTTTCAGTAATTGTTCTTTATGCAAAAATACATTTGTCACGGGGAATTGTGAAGACTTTCATAAAAAAAACGTCTGTGGTAAATAAGTTTTTGAATAATATTTTTGAAACTTTTGAATACTAAAAAAGGTACACCTTTTTAGAACTTGTAAAGTTCTTACTAGTAGCAATTTCAAAAAGATGTATTGATAAAAGTTTTAATATATACTGAAATATACTGAAATATAAGCAGTTTAAATTTGATATATGTAAGCGCATAAACAAAAAAAACCCTACCATTTTTAAAAGTACCGAAAAATTCGAAATGGCGGAGGTTTTTATTTTTTTGCTTTCCTTGACAACCAACAATTTTCAACCCTATTTTTGCTATTTAATATTTACTTTTATGTGCCAAACAAGGTGAAGTATTCAAAAGGCTTTAGATCTTAAATTCCTCTCACCACACTAAAATAATCTTTTTTAGGTAGCCATAAAACTGATGACGCAGTTACTTTGAGTTTGTCTTTAATAATGACGCAAAGTCTCCCATTTCTTACTCTCAGAAGTCGCTACATAAGTTTTATTTCAAAACAATTTTGTCGTTAAAATTAATATTAATCAAGATAAAACTTAGTTTTACGGAAATAAATAACCATGATTAGTTGTAAATAATGTTAATAAATAAACTACAAAACGGTCTGTCTAGAGGATCACACAGTCCTGGACCCCCCTGTCACAATCAGGGTTTCTTACAGACATTTTGTCTTTGGGGGTACTAGACAAGTTGGGGGTGGGGGAAACACTTAAATTTACGAGGGGCAGACAGTGGTTAAAGTATATATTTACTTTCTCTTATACCAAAGAAAATGACATGTCAACTGTTTTCGGCGTTTTACACATTCCAGTTTAATCTTATAGAGAAAGTAAAGGATGCTTTGTAATCGTACAAAACTCTTAATCGAGATTTTGACAAATTTTAACGTTTTATAACCTTTTGAAGCCGGAAAGCTTAGTTTTGCAACCCTGTCAGTCTGTCAGTGTGTATATAAACACGATAACTTAACTAACTTTTCAGTTCAGTTGAACATATTTTTTTATAAGTGTTAGGGGAGAACCGAGAGGTGATCTTATTCACACAGTTAATGCATTTATTTATCTTCATTTTGACGTAACAAATATATTATATGTAAAAGCAAAAGCAAAAGACACAACACAAATAAGACCTGGCCAGTCTATCATATTCAAGGAAACATCACTTGAATTCCTAATACAAATAAAAAATGACAACAAATCCTTAAACTTACAACGCCATACAGAATTATTCACCTTGGTTACATAACATTAAAAAAAACATGTAAGTGTGAATAATGAACCGACATTTACATAACTCAAATTTACACAGGTAAACGTCATTTCCTCAGGTCCTACACTACCGCTCTGTTTAGGTAATCTCAGAATTACACTCGTAAATGTTACTTCTTCTAATTCTAATTTCATTTCTCGCACTGTTACATAATCTCAGAATCACACTTGTCAATGTAATTATTACTAGTCTTAATTTTATTTCTTGCACTGCTAATTAATGCCAAAATCTCATTTGAAAATGCTAATATCCCTAGTTCTGATTCCACTAATCCTTGGTTTAAATCCTTCTAAAAATGAGTACTCAGCGATACTCAAAACAACCTAGTTTGACACTAGAACAGCAGCAATATTTCCAATCAAGGAAACAAGACATCGGACATCTGGTACAAACATCGTACTCAAGTGGCAAGAGGGTTTTCAACCACTGGAGAAAAAGACATCGGCCTCTGGTACAATATCTGGCCACACATACCACAACCATCTAGGCCACAGCAAATAACCATAATAGCCACAAGAACGAAGCACGTAATATTTACAAGAACTCGACGTTCGGCCGCTGGTGTAAACACCAGGCCATATCAACAATACATCAGCTGGGCCACTGCAGCCAGCCCTAAGGCTGTTACCATAAGGCCTCGAATAGCCTCTAGCCATGGCTAAGTGTGTGTAAGAGACCTCACACTATCCAACCTCCCTCTTTTATAGGCTGATTCCAACCAAACTTTTCCCCATCCTTTCAAACCATCCGCTTGACCCTATCTGACACATAAATTAAGGGAGGCGGCCATTGGGGAGACAGGACATTAAATCGAAATATAAAAAAATGCTCACACCTAGGGTCCGGTCACGCCGGTCTCCGGCTGCAGTCCATGACTGTGAAAGCTCATAAATTATTCTTGACACACTAGCAGACCCCCGCCCGTGAGAACCGGGCGCCGTTCCACTTTTGGAACGCTTGAGAAAAAAATTGCTAAAATGTATTAACAACAATTTAAAACACAAATTATGTTTCCATTTGTTTGGAAATGGTTGAACTATTGAATTTGTGTATGTTTTGTGAAAAAAATTAATTTAGAAAACAATTTAAAAAACGGCTTAGCAAGATTTATCAGAATGGCGGAATAAAAAGAAAACACGCACACGAATAAGTGCATATCTTCTTAAATATTAATATTTTAAGTGAAAAATACATTTTAAAATTGCAGCAGTACCATCGTTCTATCCAATACAAATTTTAGAGTAACATTTTTTTAAACTACTTTGTTATATCAAGTGTATAACAAGCTTACAATAAATGGGACGCTAGCATCGAATGCCCCAATGTAGATTGTTGCACACAAATCCCGTTTATAGGACACTAGCAAGAAACACAGACGTAAATGTTTATGTTAAATGGTTATTTATGGTGAAACAATGGTTATCTATGTTAACTAAGGGGTGTGAAGTAGTATTTTTACATTTGTGATTATGACCTTGACCTATAAATTATATATATATTATTGTATAAAATATTGAAATTGAATTTTTTTCGAAACATTTACATTTTTTATTTCTTTGGCTTTGGAAAACCTTTGAATATAATTATTTAGTATTGCTGTGAATTCCACAGACACGTGGCTTAGAATTATAACAAACGAATATGCCACAGTACACTTTGGAGGATCGGTCGTACAGTTACGTGTTCCCTATTTAACAGTCGAAGGGGAGCAACGAGTCTCAGAATTCATTAAAATGTGAAGTTTTGCATATATTTTACACTACAGTTTGTGTAATGGATTTTAGTGTTTGCGGAAGCGGGTGGTATATTGACTGTAAAATAAAGATAATCGTACCGCAGCTACAGTATTTTTCTTTTTCAAAACAAATATCAAGGAAAAAATGCAAGAAAAAAAAATTAAAAATTAAAAAAAAATATTAATTATGGTCGGCAGTGCCCACCCCCTCCTCCCACTGCGAAGTCTGGCGGCATTGTAGTTCCGCCCCTGGTTGGTGGTCTATGTGTCGGAACACTATATGTCGACGACCAATTTGTCGGGAGCCTATTTGGCAGAAATCAATATGTATGGGTCCTTTCGTCAGGGCTATTTTGGCTGGATTGTACTATTAATTCGTTAGAAGTAAAACATATTAAAATGTATATTTATAATTGCCTACATTTGAATTGTAATTTTATTCTATGGAGGATAACCCACTAACATCAACAATGGACTCGGTTATGATTGGTATTTTTCCACATTGATTTAAGCGGCGTATATTATCTGCATCTATTAAATCCTGCTTGGCCATCTCTTTATAAACATGTATTTTCTCAAACGCACCCGATATAAAACAACACGAGCACGCAGTCGTCGAAAGCTGTAACTGTATTTTAACCAGCGTAGCGAGGTCGGGTATAACCCGGTGCGGCACTTAATGGTGTCACCCCCCCCCCCCCAGAGGCATAGAGACCCTTCCCAGGGACAAACTTTCAAATTTTCGATTTACACCCCCCTCAAACTTTCGATTTGCACCCCCCCCTCGAGTTTTTCTCTATATATTTTGCTATTTTTTGCCTTGGTGTCACCCCCCTAAATGGTGTCACCCGGTGCGGTCCGCACCCCTCGCCCCCCCCCCCTCGCTACGCCCTTGATTTTAACAGCTCCCATTTTTGGGCTCCAACATCTTCTTGCCTACTGACTGAAGTTATTTCTGATGCATATCTTAATATAGATCTAAATATTCTTGATGATAAGTGATCACAAGACAAATGACCTGAGAAATATATGAGATAAAATATATCAGACAAAAATTGGGATATATATCTAAAACAATATATCTCACATTTATTGCGGCCTTCCATTACGAGATGTGCAAACCGTTTATATCTAGTTTCGTCCACCAGTAGTGATAGGTTTGTGTCAAGTGCGGTAAGATGTCCATTGAAAACTTATATCTGATTACTTTTCTTTCTAAATATCCTCTTTTAAGCCTCCCGCCCCCCTTTTGTTGAAAATTTAAGTCCACCCCGCTACCAGAAAGTATCAAGCTGTCCTCTCCGCGAAGTTTTGTCTGAAAGAAACACTGCTTAGAAGACTGAGTATACAAGGGAAGAGGAGTTTATTTGAACATATAAATGAAAGCTTGTATTTAGTCAGCGAGGAAAGTAAAATATATCTAACTTAAAATAGACCACTTGTACGTACCCTCGATATGGTCGAGCAGGCATCAATAGGGCTTGTAAGTTGGTAACCAACCAGTTACATGGCTTATGCAGGTTTTATTGAGCAGTAGAACTGGTTGGTGACCTACTTACCACCCCTATTCAAAAGTATCTGCATGCCTAAACATTAATTTAGCGAA